AAGTGTGCACTTCTTCAGATGCCACAGGCAGAGGTCTTGCTGAATATGTGACATTTGAGCTAGGACATAAAATCATGGCACCAGCCATGAACAAGGACTAGGGGAAGGGTATTCAAGGCAAAAGGAATGTCAATCACAGAGACTAAAAAGAGGCCAGGGTGGAGGATGGGCGACAAGGAGTAGGGTGGTGTGACTCGGCTGGAGAAGTGGGCAGGAGCCAGAGCAAACCCAGCAAGATTCCTCATTTGAATAGCAGAGATTTATGCATGGGTTACTGCAGTATCTAATCAAAAGATTATTCTGGCTGGGCATGGTGGTGCACCCTTGTAATCCCAGCTCTTGGGAGGCTGAGGCAAGAGGATCTCAAATTCCAGGGCAGCCTGGATGACCCTGTCTCAAAAGACAGAGATAGGGAAGACAGATGAGGAAGACAGTTGCGGCAGGGTGGGGAGGTTTAGCCTCCCATGGCTGATAGACATTTGGGAGCAATATTTCACAGGTGACTGGTTGGATGATTCCAGGCTAAGAGGGGCCTGAACAGGAGTATAAATTTGGGATTTATCAGCATATAGACTTGCCAGTTGTCAATTGATGGCTGTTCATTTCCAAGTTCACCTTTTGCTGTATACACTGCAGAAACTGAGTTGAGACCTTTCACTACTTTGTTGTTCCCAGCGGGCAGGACATCCAACTGTCAGTAGAGGGCTGGTGAGACACTGGTAGGGACAGGCCTTTCCTCCTGGCCCTGGGCACAGCTGTCCAGCTCCTCCAAGAGCTGGTGGTCTGGTCACGCAGAGGCCAGCAGCTTCCCGGGGTCCTCCTCTGGTGGCTCTGTAGTAGGTGGATCAACTCTGACAGGGCACCCCAAGACACATCTAGTGAGTTTCTGCTACTCTGTGACCTGTGGCCATACCCTCACCAACAGGGCCTGGACCTCAGTTCTGCAGACAGGGTCTCACTGTGCAGGCAATCTTACTATAATTAACAGGTCCTTATATTAAAGATCTAAATTATTCAAATTACTGTGTGATCCCTTTCTCCCAAATAATACAAATGACCCTAAATGCAATGCAGGCAAGATTGTCCAAGGAGATGGTGTGGACTGATAGGTCAGATGAGAGGTCCTAAGGAGTTACTCTGTGTGTCTGTGGGACTGGGGTTTGAACTCAGGGCTTCACACTTGCAAAGCAGGTGCTCTACTGCTTGAGCCATTTTGCTCTGGTTATTTTGGAGATGGGGGTCTCTCAAAACTATTTGCCTGGGCTGGCCTCAAACCGTGATCCTCCTGGTCTCAATCTCCCAAGCACCCAGCTACATTGTTTTGTTTTGGTTTTGGTGGGACTGGGGTTTGAACTCAGGGCCCCATGCTTGCTAGGCAGGCACTCTACCAGCCTTTTTTTTTTTTTTCTTTGAGACAGTCTTGCTATGTAGCCCAAGCAGGCCTTGAATTTAGGATCCTCCTGCCTCTACCTCCTGAGTGCTGGGATTACAGTGTGTACCACCATGCCCGACTCTCGTTTTCTGTTCTGAAGGGGTGAAGTGTGAGGCACATGGATGGCATGGGGCAGAGCAGGAGCATCTGAGTTCAGCTTCTCTTCTTGGGATAAAGGATACCGCCCACCCCTGGGCCTTGGTGGTCTTTAAGGCAGATGGCACCTACCTGCAGCTTGCAGTGGCTTCTCTCAGGCAGCTACAATCAGAGCTAGAGTTTCTCTGAATTGTCTTGGAGCCCTGCATAGGTACAGAAGCATCTTCTGAAGCCAAAATGTTGGAAAACCAAGGCCTACCTTCATTGTGGGGCCAAGTACCCAGGTGCACTGTGGCCATTTCAGGCTGCAGGAGCCTGACATTCCTGAAGCATTCTTTCAAATGGTGCCTCTAGACCTTGAAGCTGTTGATTCTACTGCAACTGTCACCTAAAAGGGCAGCTGGCCTCAGCCAGTCCCAGCATCCTGAGACATAGAAACAAGGCAGAGCTGCCCTGGCCCCGGCCTCCTGTGACCCTGCTAGGGTACCGAAGTGTTTTCACACCACACACTGATGTCAGTCCAGAACAGGGGAATAGATGCACGGTTTTCAGCCACTGGAATGCTGGGTCCTTTGCTAGAAACCAGGCGCATCTATTTCCTACAAAGACAGAATGATTAAAGAAATGGTCAAGAACAATTGGCCACTGGGCTCTCGTGGCTCACGCCTGTAATCCTAGCCACTCAGGAGGTAGAGATCAGGAGGATTACAGTTTGAAGCCAGCCAGGGCAAATAGTTCGAGTGACCCTATGTTGAAAAAACCTTCATAAAAAAGGGCTGGTGGAGTGGCTCAAGATGTAGGTCCTGAATTCAAACCCCAGTACCACAAAACAACAACAACAAAACCAAATGGCCAGTACTGCCTCCAAAGCCCAGAAATCCTGGAGGTCAGGGAGGGCGTAGAGGCATCATTTTCTTGTCCATTTTGTGTGTGCGTTGGTTGGTTGGAATTCCACTCATGGATCTCAACTCACAAATTCAGGTTGCCTCAGGGTGTGGCCACCATGAAGGGTCAGAATTGCCATCCCACCAGGGAATGGTGCTGACAGGCTCTGAAAATCAGGTCACAGTGGAATCCTGTGGCTGAAGGTACAGCTTACAGATACGGAAAATTCCTGCAGATAACTTCAGATGGGATTTTTTTCTTTTTCTTTTTGCAGTACTGGGTTTGAATTCAGGTCCTCAGCACATCTGTGCAGTTAAACCTGCGGGACTCGGACTAACTCAGGCTCTCTTCAGCCATCTGCACCCAGGCCTGGCCAGGCAGCCGTTACTCAGAAGCGGTCATCTTCCAGTCACTGCCCTGTGAACAGAGTTTCTCTCCATCTAGTGTCCCTCACGAAGAAGGGCTACAAACTGGGGACCCACCTATCTCCTTAATGTTAGGGCAACCAAAAGCTTAGTTGTGTAAGGAAATCTTTTCCTTTTTTCCCTCAAGGAAGGGCCTTGCTCCTGACCTGGAAGCTTGAGTGCACTCAGAGTCACTAGCTCTCCTTGGAAAGAAGAAGGGTCAGGACAGAAGGATGGCTTCAGAACTACTGACATCATGAGTCATACAAGGCTGCTCTTCCCTGAAGGGCGCTCAGCAGAAAAGGCCGTGCTCTGGGCCAGGGCAGGTGGGAATGTCCTTCCGAGACAGTATGGCCAGCGCAACTCCAGAAGGCCTTCTGGGGTCTTCTTGAAGGCAGAAGTTCAAGTCCAGCAGAAGCTTGGTGCTGGCCTCCACGAAGAACCTGTTTTATGTCTGACCACATTTAAAGCAAAGATCAAGACACTTTTACTGGCAAGTAGGGGCAGAGAGAGTGAGAGTAAAAAAGAAAGGCTCAGCACGCAGGTTCTGTTCTTGACTTTAATGCCACCTGAGAGATCCAGGGCCCATGTCCCCACATGCTCACAGATGGGTATGTGAACGACATGAAGTGCTGTACTGTGTACACAGACCCAACAGCGTACAGAGGAAGACAGTAGAGCCAGGTGAGCCCCACATTCCAGCGTGACAGCACCTCCCTGCCCTGCCAGCCCCCTCCGCACTGCACAATACATGTTTCTTCCAGAATTCCAAAGCTGCTCTACTCCTCCCCCCCCGGCCCCGCCCCCATAGTCCCACACCAGATTCAGATAGCAGGAGTCTTCCTAGACCTTGAGACTGGCACCAGCAACAAGCAAGAGCCTAAAAAAACAGTACCCAGGAAGACTAGTCATTTATATCAGAATCAAACACCACACAAAAAGAATCAAACACAGACAGAAAGAATGCAGAAAGACCATGTCTGAACTCCTTCCTGGGACTGTTGTTGTTGTTTTGGCTAAAGCCTCAGCATTCAGCTCAGGCCAAGGTCACACTTGGTGCTCACCCGACTCCAAGTCTTGTAAGCTTGATCTCCCAGTTCTTTAGTGAGCAACTGGGAACAGGAAGATAGTCTCTACCTGATCAGGTCACAGAATATCCCTTGCCCGGGAATAAAAGAAGAGAAAGTTCCAGAGTGTGGTCAGCTGCTTTTCATGGTTGGGAGATGCTGGGCAGCCAGGTGAGTGAGGCAGAGATAGGAGAAGGATGGTAATGACTCCTTTCTTTTCTTTTTTTTTTTTTTCAGTACTGGGGTTTGAACTCAGGGCCTACACCTTAAGCATTCCACCAGCTCTTTTCTGTGATAGTTTTTCGACATAGGGTCTTGCAAACTATTTGCCTAGGCTGGCTTTGAACCTTGAACCTCCTGATCTCTGCCTCCTGAGTAGCTGGGATTACAAGTGTGAGCCACCGGTACCTGACAACTCTTTTCTTCTATTTTTCAGTTACCAGAAGAATCCCTCCCCTGGGATGGATATGTGCCGGTGTGGTTTTCTCTGTTTTTTTTTTTTTCCCCATTGCCATTAGGTTTTTTATTTGTTGTGGCTAGCATTGCACCATGTGGTCCTATCTCCTAAAACTTTCACAGAACCAGTCAGCAAGCAAATGCCCAGGAGAAAAGGTGCCAAAGTCAAAAGGAAGGGAAGCAGGTCAGGCTCTTGGCTTTGACTCAGCTGCCTCCTGCCTTGCATGTGACAGGCGTTTAGTAACACTGTGCACAGAATACTGGAAGATACACTTCCTTTCCACCAGCGAGGAGCTTTTGTTCCACCCTTCCTACGGCTGGAAAGGGGTCAATCAGGCCGAGGTGACTTCCACAGAGATGGTGTGCCTTTATCTGGAAGTGACAGCCACCACATCCAATGGCACATTTCTGCCTCACCTTGATTCCTTGTCAGAGAACGTTTACTACCAAATGATACATCATGATACGTTACTTTTTTTCATTTGTGGTGCTGTGGATAGAACCTAAGCCCTTGTGCTGGCTAGGGAAGCACTCTACCACTGAGCCACACCCTAGACTCAGGGTACATTACTTTATTGCGTATTTCTATTTCACTGGTCAAAGGAAGAATTGCAACTATAATAAATATTTTTTTAAGTACAAAGAAAAGTTCCTGTTGCCAGAAAAAAGTAGAGAAGTCCCTGGGTTAAAAAGAAAAGACAAAGGTTTTGGTTTTTGTTTTTCAGTACTGGGGTTTTTACTCAGGGCCTATCCCTCGCTAGACAAGCACTCTACCACTTGAGCCATTTCCCCGCACTTTTTGTTCTAGTTCTTTTCCACATAGGATCTTGTGTTTTTCCCGGTGGCACGCCTGGACTGTGATCCTTCTATCTGTGCCTCCCAGGTAGCGGGATTATAGGCACATACCACCATACCTGGCTTATTCCTTGAGACGGGAAATTACTAAGTATTTGCCCAGGCTGGCCTTGAATCCTGATTCTCCTATCCCCACCTTCCAAATAGCTGGGATTCAGGCAGGAGCCACTGAAATCCACACTTTCACAAGAGTATTCAGTACAATGTCTGCCCCAATACCCTCAAAAATTGGGTAAAATACAAAGAAAAAAAAAGAATGGAAGGAAGAGGAGGGGGGAGAGAAGGGAAAGGGAAGGAAAGAGAAGGGAGAGAGGGGAAGAGCTCTAAGCTGGCTTCCTAGTGCCCCCCATGCCTGCTCCAGTGGTCCAGCACCTTTTCTGCTCACAGTGGAACAGAGCACACCACAGTGGCGCAACACAGAGTACAGTGAAATGGGGCGCCTCCAGCAGGAAGCACAGAGATAATGTCCTTGCACGGTATCCCTGTAACTCAGGAATGCCTTCAGGGCCTATTCTGTGCAAACCAGTTTCTCCCTGTCTCCCATGGATGGATTCTAACTTGCCAAGCACTGTGGGCTTTATGGCAAGAATGGGAAGGAGAGAGAAGGGCCGAGGCCAGGTGACGGAAAGCACTGGCTTAGTCACCTACTGTCTACGCACATGGGCCTCCTCCTGCAGCCTGCCTCACTACCTGTGCAAAGTGAACACACGTTAAGCCATGGGTAATATGAGAAACTACTCTGTTAGAACAAGGGCCGGGCCACAGTGCTGTGCTAAGCAGCAAGGCGGAGTATCGCCACCAGAAGAAACCATCACTAGACAGCACAGGTCTGGCCATGGACCTATCTCCAGCTCTGTCCACCCAGGTCAGGGCCCAGGCTCTTCTTTAGAGATGCATGTCTGTTCGCTGACTAGCGTCCTGAGCAAGAAGACGTGCAGTGGGACACATCACTGCTGCTTCTTTCTCTTTCTGATACACAGGAGTGAAAGACATGGAGTATGTGACTTTCTGCGGCTCCTGGAGCAGCTTCCTTTCCTCCTCAGAACTGAAACTGTCCTAGGAGAGGCTCCCTTTCCAGAGAGGCCCACCACATATGGGATCCCAGCACATGAGGAAGTGGCCTGAGTGCTAAAAGTGCTGTTTCATTTCAGATACAGATGATCCAGGTGTCTTGCCTGCTTGACTTAAAAAACGTGCCCTGTGAGAAGTTAACCTTGCAAGGAGGAGAGGAGGGAGGAAGGTAGAGCCAGGACCCTGTGACGGGGCTGTAAACATTGTAGTTTTCTAAGGCCAGCTGGTGCGTGGCTTTGGCAGCTCTGGGTAACTCGGGGCGGTGGTGAAGGGCATGTTCTGGGAGGAAGGCCTTCTCCATCCTAGGGTAACTCAGGGGACTGTCCCTGGGGGAGCAAGGGATACCCTGGAGAGAATGCAGTCTCTTCCTCAGCCAGGGGCTGTGGGTGACGACTTAGGTAAATCCCAGCATGCTCTGTGTTCCTGCGGAGGCGCTGAGCACGGGAGGGAAGGCGTAACCAGGATGAGGAGGTGGTGACGTCTGTATCAGTGGCTCTAAACAGAAATTTTCTCACAAGCTCAAGAAGGCGACAAAACCTCTCTGGACTTCTGGTGAAGCCCTCACTAAACCCTATCACCTCAAGGGAAGGCCCAGTGAGAGTAGACTGAGTCACCAAGGACCCCAAACCCCAAGACTGACTCTGAGGTCCAGCTAGGGAGACTGGAGCCACCACCTCTATCTCGTCAGAGCTGTGCCTCAGGACTCGGTTGCCACTGCAGCAGGTTCTGGGGCAGTCAGCAGCCCCTCCAGGGGTCCAGCTCCTGGAGCCACTGAAGAGAACAGACGCCCTCCCTGATGGAGCTCTGTGCCTAGCAGCCTACTCACCACCACGTGATCTTGAACTCGTAGATGGGGCGCTTTGCAGTATAGTGGTTGACAAGGTGCTTGTCACACACCCAATGCACTGGTGGTCCACAGTGAGGCCCTGGGCCGACAGGTCCGTGACCAGGCAGTGCAGCAGGTCATACACATCAGCCACGGCCTCCCAAGGCCCAAAAGACACGTCCACTTCACAGTGGTGTTCAAAGAGCTGCCCATCACTCTCGCTGCGCTCGAAGCGCAGGCTGTTGAGGAGGGCACTCATAGGGGTGATGGGCATCTCCTCCTTGAAGACACAGACCTTGAGCTTGGCAAAGCGGGCCTTGCGCTGCACAGCGCGCAGCCGGGCGATCTCCACGATCCGTTCCAGGTGGTCTGCAGGGTGACAGGGCTCTTGTTGTTGGGCGGGTATGGGACAGGGAGGGGCAGAAGCAGCAGGATATCAGGGGAGAAACGGATTCCTGGAGAAGGCACTCTATAAACCCACGAAGGGGCATGGGTGTCCCCAGCAAAAGGAGGCCAGCAGGAATGGGCCTGGCCCCGTCACGCTCTCCCCATGTCCCAGCCAGCCCGCAGCTGCCCTCACCTTTGTAATAGGGCATGAGGCCCAGGAATGCCTGGCGCACTTTCTCGCCTCTCAGCGGCTGCATATTCTCCAGCTGCTCCAGGAGGGGACCAATGGCATAGTACTGGGCCTCCTTGTGCACTGCTCGCACACGCTCCCGGGGCGGCAGGTCCCCTGAGCGCAGAAAATTCAGCACATCTCTGAGCAGGAAGGAAAGAGGACCAGTGAGAAGGAGCTAAAGGACCTGGGCACCACACACTGGTGAGAGCACAGAATCTGGAACCACATCGCCTCTGTGTAACTCTGGGTAAGAACTCGATCTCTATGCACCTGTTTTCTTGTCTGTAAAATGAGAGCGATAACAAACACTCTCATAGTTGCCAAATGAAACTGCATAGAAAATTCCTGGCACAGTCCTGGTATGGTGGCTCATGCTCAAAGTCCCAGCTACATGGGTGCTGGAGATCTGGAGGATCGTAGTTCGAGGAGACCCCCATCTCCAGAGAAAAAGCTGGGCATGGTGGTGTGTAGCACCAAAAGTAGGTGGTCTCAGCTAGGTCAGGCAAAAACAGGAGACCCTACTAGAAAAACAACTGAAGCAGAAAGGGCTGGTAGAATGGCTCAAGTAGTAGAGTGCCTGCCTAGCAAGTGTGAGACCCTGAGTTCAAACCCCAATATGGCCACAAAAAAATTCCTGGCACAGAAAGAGTCCTCAATAAATGCTATTATCAACTACTATTTTATTATTATCAGGCATAATATTAGGTACTGTTATTTGGTATTTAATAATATATCTGACATGTAGTCCACATACATATTTTAAAACCATACATATATATAAGCTATGATTTAAGAAGGTATAATTAAATTATAAGTTATAATTAATATTCAATAAATGTACAAATGGTTTTTTGGGTTTTTTTTTGGCACTGCTGGATATGGAACCCAGGACCTCCACACATGCTAGGCAAGTGCTATACCAATGAGGTACACCTTCAGCCAAAATGTACCATTCTTAATTATACAACTCAGTTACTTTTATTTTTTGGGAGTACTGGGGTTTGACCTCATGCTTGAGCCACTCTACCAGCCCTATTTTTGTGATGGGCTTTTTCGCAATAGAGTCTTGCAAACTATTTGACCAGGCTGGCTTCGAACTGTGAGCCTCCTGATCTCTGCCTCCCGAGTAGCTAGGATTACAGGCATAGCTACCGGTGCCCAGCTCAATTACTTTTTTAAAGTAAGAATATACTCACACAAACACACTGAGATCAAGATACAGAGCACTACTTCCTCCTGAAGGTTTCCTGTGCCCCTTCTCAGTCAATCCCTACCAGAGGCCACCATCCACTTTCTCATTTTAGCAAAGGCTAGCTTCACTTTTCTCCCAATTCCTATCAATAGAGGCACACAGCACGCTCCCATTGTACCTGGCTTCTCTCCCTAAGCATGGTATTTTTGAGATTATCTGCCATGCTGTCCTTGGCGACTGCTCTTCTATTACTTTTTGTCTAAGTGGAATGTCACTGTATGACCATACTGTGGCTGATCTACCCATTGTCTTGTCGACAGACATTTGGGATGTTTCCGGTCTGGCTATTCTGAGTGAGGCTGTGATGGACACTCCCCTATAAGACCTCTTGTGGACACAGGCACCAGTGTCCAGTCACAGGGCAAGTGCACAGGTCACAAAGTGGCAGTAGCACTTAGATGCCCACCAGTGGCACCAAAGAGTCTGCTTGTCAAAACCCTCGCCTTTAGCATTGCTCTGTAGCAATGGAGTGGTAACACACCTAGTCCTAGTGTCCCAACCAGCTGGCTCCAGAACTGAGCCAAATGCTCACACATACTCTCTTCCAATGACGATTCAGGCCTCTTAATTTTCTTTCCAGAGTCTTTAGTTAATGCTAAGGTAATCAGATCCATCATCAACCAGTGTGGGGAGGGCGTGCAAAACCCCAAGATACAGCTGTTACCTCAATAGTTAGTGTGTAACCCTAACTCAACACTTGCTAAGTATTCACCTGTATCAGTCATGACCAATGTGCTACCCCCACTCAGTCCCTTCAGTGGGGTATCCACTGTGAGGTGGGTGCTCTGCTAGCTCCATTGTATAAATGAGGCCCCGCGTGATTCAGGAACACCCTGCTGAAGCATCATGGCTGCCGGAGGCTCTGCTCCGCACAGGCCTAAGCCACAACCACAACTTCCGCAGAGGCATTCAGACCAAAGTGCTGTAAGCCGATCACAACGGGGAGCTGCTCCAGACAGAGGCCCATGTCCCCTCCATCTTGGGTACCGAGGTAGATGGGCTGCACCAGCAGAGAAATGCACCCCTCCAAGGCCCTGAACCCTACATTACCTGGGCTGGTAATTCACAGGCCCCTGGAGGCCAGCAGCCCAGGCATGAATGCCACTGTAGCCTTGCGTGCTATGCCCTTGCCTGCCCTGTCACTAGGTAGTCTGGCCACTGGCACGGCACATTAGCCTCGAGTTAACCCTGGTCCCCTCCCCACAGCCCCTGCTGAAGTCCTCTGGATCTTCAGCAAACCTCTGTGAGCTCTGAAAAACAAAAACCCCAGTCAGACCCAGCTAAGAGTGCTCTGGGCACTGCCCTCCCCAGGGCAGCCTGCAAACAAACATCTTTCATTGCTCTACAGTGTGAGCATCAGAGGCAGCTCAAGCCCTGGGGACCCCAGATGCTACAAAGCAAGTCAGTTGCCAGGGGCTCCTTTCTGAGGACAAAACTACCCTTTCCAGTGTGGCAATACTACTTGAGGTTGGCACAGAGACACGGGTTGGAGTTTCCACCTCCCTGTCTTACGTTCAAGGTCAAGGACTGCGTCAGTTCTCTAGTCATCTCCACAATCAGACGGAAGGAGCAAAGAATTGCAGCCACATACTTTGAAGATGTGACCTGGCTGGGGTCACAAACCAGGCTCTTTATTTTGTTCCTCACTGTCAAGGCTCACTAGGCAGCTATAATTATTTTAATTACTTCTTTCATCACAAACAAGGAAACTGAGACATTATTTATGTGTAAGGTTGTCAAAGCCTTTTCTCAGGAAAGGCTTTTTTTTTTCAAGATTATGTTTTACATGTTTTAATGTTAAGATTACGGTGACAACAGACTTTTATTTGGCAAAATATAAGGGATGGTAACTGATGTCAGTGTTTTCTTGTCTTTTGGTTTTTTTGTTTGGTTGGTTTTTTTGCAGTACTGGGGTTTGAACTCAGGGCTTCAAACTTGCTAGGCAGGTGCTGTACCACTTGAGCCATGCCCCAACCCCCATTCTTTTTGACATTAATATTTTTTTTTTTGGTAGGATTGGGGTTTGAACTCAGGACCTCACACTTGCTAGGCAGGCACTCTACCACTTGAGCCCACCCCAGTTCTTTTTACCTTAGTTATTTTTTGGATACCTCTTGAGTTTTTTTGTCCAGAGACAGCCTTGAACCTGTTCCCCACATAACTGGGATCACAAGAGCCCACCACCATGCCTGGCTTATTGATTGAGATGGGTCTCCCTAACTTTTTTGCTCTGGCTGGCTTCAAACAGTGATCTTCTAGATCTCCACCTCCTGAGCAGCTGAATTTAAGCTGTAAGTCACCATGCCTGGCCCTTTTTTTTTTTTTTTTTTTGCATGTACTAGGATTTAAACTCAGGGCCTACACCTTGAGCCACTCCACCAGCCCTATTTTTGTGAGGGTTTCTTCGACATAGGGTCTCATGAACTTTTTGCCTGGACTGGCTTCGAACCACAACCCTCCTGATCTCTGCCTCTTCAGTGGCTGGGATTACAGGCGTGAGCCACTGGTGGCCAGTGCAACTAAGAAGTTTGATCCAATTCAGTAAGGACCACCATTACCTTACCCCCAGTACTTTGGAAGATGCCAGAGTTCCCAACATAAGCCGGGTTACTGGCTGCTTACACCACAAAGGTGATCAGAGAGAAGGACGCGTACCCGAAGTGTGTGCCATCCCGGTCAATGAAGTACCGGCCCTCTGAGTCCGTGGGGATGTAGTGTCGCCCGCTGAACATGGCTGCCAACATGGTGTCCTCGTAGCGCCGCAGGGTGGACAGGCGTGTGGTAAAGTGAGCCCCTCCAATGTTAAGGGGGACAACCTCAGGAAACTGAAAAGGAACCACACAGACAGCCCTCAGACAGGCATGGAGGACTGAGAACTGGGCTGCTCTGTACCCCATCGTGTGGAGCCTGACTAGCGCCACACCATCTGCTCCATCACCCAAGTCCAGGGATCCTTCTGAACACTTTTTTTTCTTTTTGAGGTACAACAGTTTGAACTCAGGACCTCATAGTTGCTCAGCAGGCACTACCATTTGAACCACTCCACCAGACTTTTTTGTGTTGGGTATTTTTGAGATAGCGTCTCATGAACTATTCCCCCGGGCCGGCTTTGAACTGCTATCCTCCTGATCTCTGCCTTGAGTACGGGATTACAGGCTGAACAATTTTTTCCCCACTCTCTTCCCACGCACACGATCATCAAGTCCTACCACTCTACCTCTGAGAGCTCCTACACCAGTCCCGCTCCATCCAAACATCTCTGTTCCCCTTTCCACTTGCTGCTCATACTGTCGCTCTGCCCCAAACGCCTGCACCACTATCCCCATCCTTCTAGCAAATAAAATGCCACAGGAGGTAGTTGGTTCACTGCATGAGGAACCTGGATCACAGTGCTCTGCTAACCCAGCGCGATCCTTTTCCTAATTCACACCAAGACACCCATAAGTTTAACAAAAGCTTCTGCTCAAGTCTTCTAAGAGCTTTGCTGCTGTCTTGTCCCTCACCTGTCCCCAGACGAGACAGCTACCTCCTCCCCGTGCACCTAGGTTATACCCTAATTCCCTTACCACAGCTCCTCACAATACATTGTGATTATCTCCATCAACTAGTCTACTAGATGCCAGCTTCCTGAGGCCAGGCAGCCTGCCAGCGAGACACAGCTCAATGGAGTTTGGAACGCGTGCAGGCAGTCCTCATTCTCCAGCCTCACTCCACCCGTCTCCGCCTAACCTCGTGTGCATAGTCTCAGCTCCCACAAAGTTCTGCAGGCCAGGGCTGGTGCGACAGGAAAAATGCTCAGCCAGGTCAGAAAGTCAAAAGGCCACATGTTTTCTCTCATAAGTGGAAGTCAGACGCAATACAAATACAAGCAATACACGAAAAGCAGTCACGCTAGGGAGGTCACATACGAGAGGGAAAGGTAAAAGAAGAAGTTAAGAAGGTGAGTTATGGTTGATGTACTTTCTATACAAGAATGAATTTAGAAGGTTTTGTTTTTTTTATATTTTTGTAGAACTCAAGGCTTACCACCTGAGTCACTCACAGCCCTTTTTTTTGTGTTAGGTTTTTCTGAGATAGGGTCTCTAGAACCATTTCACTCTAAGGTGGTTTTGAGCCAATCCTTCTGATCTCTAACCCCCTGAGTAGCTAGGATTACAGGCATGAGCCACCAGCACCCAGCTCAGAATGTTTAAACCTGTTGAAGTCTCCATAAGGATGCAATACATATATACATGGAAATGTCACAATGAAACACCATGTATGGCTATCTTAAACAAACAAAAAGGTCTTTCTTTTTCTCTTTTTTTTTCCAAAAATGGAGAACAATAAGAATAATAAGAAGATCCTGTCTGGGAGCTGGCACCAGTGGGAGACGGAGGATATAAGGAAAGGGTGAAGGAGGGTGAATATGGTGGAATATTATGTACTCGTATGAAAATGGAAAAATGAGACCTGCTGAAACTGTTCCCAGGAATGGGGGAGGATAAAGGAGAATGATGGGGGTGGTGAATTTGACTAAGATATAATGTAAGCAGATTTGTAAATGTCACAGTGCACCCCCAGCACAACAATAATATAATTTTTAAAAATTCCCCGGGGAAATCTCAGGGTTCCCCCTAAAACACTCAGGCTATTTCAGTGGGTTTTGGGGTTTTTAAAGTATCTTCCACTGCTTGTGGTTTCTATCTGGAAGAAGTGCAGCCAGTTCTAGCTTTCCCACAAACTTCCTCCAGATCGACTTGACTTTTACCCCCATGCATTCTTTTCAGTGTTGCAGAAGCCCCAGCTCTAATGAAAGTCTGCAGATTTATCTAGATAGCCCTGCTCCCGGCGGTCACATGCTTTGTAAAATAAAACAGGGTACAAAGACACTAAATCAAATGTAGCCAAGGCCTGGCTCACAGTAAAGACCTAAAATTCACAGGATGAAAGAATGAAATAAGAGATTTTACAGCCCTGCCCTCCTCTGCCCCTGGAGGGACTGGAAATCCCTTTTGCTTCTTCCACAGGACCTCTCACCCCATTCTGTGCGCACCAAGGGATCAAATATGGTTTTGGAATAATACTTAACATTTCTGGAATTCTTTTTTTTTTTTTCTTGGCAGTACTGGGGTTTGAACTGAGGGCCTCACGCTTGCTAGAGCACACTCTACTGCTTGAGTCACCTCACCAGCCCCTTTATGTACTGGGTATTTCAAGATAGCTTCTCTCAAACTATTTGCCCAGGCTGGCTCTGAACCGAGATCCTCCTGATCTGTGCCTCCTGAGTAGCTGGGATTACAGGCATGAGCTGCCATGTCTGGCTTTTTTTTTTTTTTTTTTGTGGTACTGAGGTTTGAACTCACAGTCTACACCGGTAGCCACACCACCAGTCCTTTTCTTGTGATGAATTTTTTTTTGAGACAGGGTCTCTCAAAGTATTGACCTGGGGCTGGCTTCCAACCCTGATCCTCCTCATCTCTGCCTCCTGAGTAGTTGGGATTACAGCTGTGAGCTGCCATGCCTGGTTGTGGAGTTCTTTTAACATTCTCCAAGGATATTTTATATCAGTCCGCGTGGGTTTGCTCTCTGTTAAAGATGAAACACTGAGGGAAAGTGCCTTTCAGTGCTCACGGGGAGCTACTAGCCCATGAGCAGTTGGCACCAAAGGCCTGGCCTTCAGGCTGTGGCTTTTGTGCCCTTTCCCTCAAACCACACCGACTCCCCAATGACAGTGCCAAAAAATAGCACCACTGTGTCTCTATTGGCTGCTTTTCCCAACTGCAGAGTCTGTCTAGAATTTTGCTTATTTTCACAACTTTCCCACGATGCTGCCAGTCTCAGTCAGGGCTTCCAACCCTACACCAAAAGCCTTAACCAGCCCAAGCTTTTTGGGGCTCTGTCCAGCCTCCATACATCACATGCTCCTGAGTCAGGATCCTAATGTCCTAAGTCAGGTCAGTGTCCACCTTCCTTCCTTCCTTTTTTAGGTGGAACTAGGGATTGAACCCAGGGCCTCCCGCTTACCAGGCAAGCACGCCACCACTTGAGCCACGCCCCCAGACCCCCTCTTTTCCTTTTGCTGGTCATTTCAGGTGCTACAACGATAGTGTCACACACCAGGGAAGCCACTGTGTACCCCCATTAGCGAGTGACAGTCTTGGGGCGCTCAGGTGCGCATGGACACATCTATGCACACTGCTCCTTTTCCCGCTCCGGGGCAGTTGGAGAGTGGGGTGTGGGCACCCAAGGTCTGCTTTGGCATTTTCTGGCCGACACTATCACCTTCTGGAAGGGCGGGAGTTCCGGATCCGCATAGTCAAGCAGGTGGTAAAGGTGGCACAGGCACAGAGTGAAAGGCAGAAGCTGGTGGGCACTGCGGACTAAGAAGGACCTGGGGCCAGTGCCCGCCCGGGCGGAGTGGGGGGGACACACACCTGGAGGGTTTTGCGGAGCGCGTAAGAGTGCGCAGCCCCGCGCTCACCCGCCCGGGTGAGCTCTGCCGCACCTGCTCCCCCCGCCCCGCCCCTCGCTCGGCCGGGTACCTCCTGGGGCAGCAGGGGCAGCGCGTGCCCCGCCTGCGTGGCCGTCGGGGTGGCCGGCTCCAGAAAGTCGTCCTCGGCGTCGGAGCTGGACATGGCACCGTCCGGGTGACGGCTGTCTGGCTCCCGCCCCGTGACTACCACCATCCCTCTGGCTCTGGGCGGTGGGCGCGGCTTCGGGAGGGAGGGCGAGCGGGCGGGGGACGGCGGCCCCGAGCTCTAGAGCCGAGCGGCGCCGGGCATGACGCGGCCGGGCGGGCGAGAGTCGCCGGGAGCCAGCGCGCGGACTCGGGAGGGCGGTGGCTCGACCACCTCGCTACTGGGGCCTCTGGCCTGACCCGGCCGCCTCCTGCTATTGGCCGAGCTCTCCCCAGCTCCGCCCTGATTGGCATGAGGTTTGCCCAATCATAGCGGTCGCGCGTTCTGCTCGCGCTGGAGTGGCCACTAGGAGCCGGGTCTGCTGGCTTGCTCTGATCTGATTGGCCCTCCAGCTAGCGGGCGCGCGCTTTCCTCCGGGTCCTCGCCGGGTGGGTAGAGGGCGGGCGCGCCGCCGCCTTCTTCCTAGCAGGATCGGCTCTGTCTTCGAGGACAGACAAACTTACTCGTTCATCTGCGGGGCCGCGGGTGTCCTCAGTGTGTGTCCTCAATGGAGGGCTTGGAGGATGCGCCGGGAGGAGCGCGGAAGCAGCCGAGGTTGGAGGAGGGGGGTGGCACTGCGACAGCCAGCGGGGGCCCTCAAGGAGCTGCTGCATTTGCAGCGCTTCCCCCATTAGTTCCTGCAGGAATCGGGGTGAAGAATGACAGCGCCCCCAGGACACGGGACCCCTGCGGGGGAGGGGAAGACCGGGCCATCCCAGGCCCCGCTGGGATCAAGGGTTTTTTTTTTTTAAGCTTTTGCAACCATTTTCACGCCCAGTCGCTCGCCCCAAAAAGCGGGAGGATTAGACAGCTGTGAGCGACTGGCAGGGTGCTCGGTGACCCCTTTATTGGGGAAAAAAACAACCTGGAAACGCAAATTCCCACTCGCTTCTCCCTCCCAAGACAACCTGATTTAAGGTCGGACTGGGGCAAGGCCCTCGGTTTTGCACCCACAATAAACTCCACCCTGGGATCAAATGTCGCAGAACCAAGAGCCACACTGAGCAGTGTTGTCCTCGATGTAGAAATATCCCCCAAAAATGCCTACAGCAAAATCTCCTCTTTCCATCCCTGGAAAGAGGGATGCAAGCCAATGTGGTTTCGGTAAGATTTGATTACGTTACGTGTGAGCAGACCCAGGCTTGGCTCAGGTAACAACGGAGTCACGCGGGACCCGCAGCCTAAACCAGCGCGCACACCTGAGGCCTCTGCGCCCCTAGGTGTCCCCACGAGAAAACGTAGAACTAAGGGGCCCCAGGGATACAGTCTGCTCCAGCACCTTAATGCAAGGCTGTGTAAGGAAAACAGGACGGGAGCCCCAGAGGCTCAGGAGACAGAAGGAGGGGGTCAGCCTGCACACTCAGATTTAAGCACGAAGACTTGAGCTCAAACTCCAGTATCAGAAAAAACCCTCTTTTTAGGGCTAGCGGAGTGGTTCAAGTGGTAGAGTGCCTGAAGGCCCTGAGTTCAAACCCAAGTACTTGCCCAAAAAAAGGGAAAAAATGTTAGCTGGGTGCTGGTGGCTCACGCCTATAATCCTAGCAACAAAGGAGGCAGAGACAGGAGGATCACAGTTGGAGGCCAACCCAGGCAAATAATCCATGAGACCCTATCTCAAAAAAAAAAAAATCACAAAAAGGGGCTGGTGGAGTGGCTCAAGGTGTGGGCTCTGAGTTCAAGCCCCAGGACCGCAAAAAAAAAAAAGAAAAAAAAATCTAACGGTTTTCTTGATACGGTGTGGGACCAGTTCACAAGAGGGCTGCAGGGAGGGCAGGAGACTTTAGGGAGGAGGTGGTCATTCCCATGCGGAGGCCACAGATGTTATGGCCTCTCTGAGAACAGAGAGTGACAGCCCTGGGACTGATTCTCCAAGAACCAGCCAAAACAACTAGTTCTGTGAGCACCAAGCCCTGAAATCAGGGCTTGCCTGCCATGCCTCCCCAAGGGACTCTTTTTTTTTTTTTCTTTTAGAAAAGAACTTGTGAACGTGGATAAGTCTTCAAACTGTGGATTCAGCTCCTGATTACCTGATTTTCTCTTCTACTTTTTTTTTTGGGGGGGAGACAGTCTGAGGTTTGAACTCAGGGCCTCAGGCTTGCTAAGCAGGCGCTCTACCATTTGAGCCACTCCTCCAGCCCTTATTTATATTGGGTATCCAGAGATAAGGTCTCTACAACTATTTGCCTAGCCTGGCTTCGAACCACAATCCTCTTGATCTCGGCCTCCTGAGTAGCTGGGATTACAGGCGTGAGCCACCTGTACCAGGTGCATGCTTTCTATTTAGTTGATAAGGAAGAATGTGTAACCCTCTATGTACTACGTGAAGCATAGTTACAAGGGAGATACCCATGTAGCCACTACCCCACCCGAGAAACAGAGCGCGAACCTTCCAAGCTCCCCATCCTGAGGTCGCCATCATGTCACTTTTCTGACAATCATTTCTTTATCTTCCAAGTTTAACCACCCACTCTCAATCTCTAAGCAGTGCAGATTGGTTTTAGCTGCATTTAATGGATTTAATTTTTTTCTGGTGTTGTGCTGTGACAAACAATGCTATTGTAAGCTTACTGTCACATACTGCTTTGAGGCACTGGAGCCTCAAAATATGAAAAGACTGGGTGCTAGTCCATTGACCGTTCACTGTTAGCTCACCTGCAGTGGATGGAATACCTGCCCTACCACCACAAAGACTGCTGGGAAAAGAAAAAACCTTTTAAAAACATTAAGAGCTTGGGCTGGGAGCATGGCTCAAGTGATAGAGTGTCTGCCTAGCAAGTACAAGGTCCTGAGTTCAAACTCCAGTACCAAAAAAAAATTAAGAGCTAAACAGATGTATAATCCTGTTAGGAGAATCTAGTCATAAGGGATGAAAGGGCACAAGAGAATGTGGCAAAAGGCCATTCTTTGAAAAAATAAAGGACTTTTTAAAGATTTTCACATACTGTAAAATTAAGTTTAAAGCTAGACTTTGTAAATCTGTCTTGAAAAAGGCAATGTGGCATAGCTGTCACACCAATAAAACGTAAGAATCATGACTCCAACTCTGTTCACATATCAGTTCACCTCAGTTTTTTTTTAATTCCTATGTGCATACAATGTTTGGTTCATTTCTCCCCCCTGCCCCCACTCCCTCCCTTAAGCCCACCCCACCCCTTCCTTCTCCCCCCCACCCCCTCGATACCCGGAAGAAACTATTTTGCCCTTATCTCTAATTTTGTTGTAGAGAGAGTATAAGCAATAATAGGAAGGAACAAGGGTTTTTGCTGGTTGAGATAAGGATAGCTATACAGGGCATTGACTCACATTGATTTCCTGTGCATGTGTGTTACCTTCTAGGTTAATTCTTCTTGATCTAACCTTTTCTCTAGTTCCTGGTCCCCTTCTCCTATTGGCCTCAGTTGCTTTTAAGGTATCTGCTTTAGTTTCTCTGCATTAAGGGCAAAATGCTAGCTATTTTTTAGGTGTCTTACCTATCCTCACCCCTCCCTTGTGTGCTCTCGCTTTTATCATGTGCTCAAAGTCCAATCCCCTTGTTGTGTTTGCCCTTGATCTAATGTCCACATATGAGGGAGAACATACGATTTTTGGTCTTTGGGGCCAGGCTAACCTCACTCAGAATGATGTTCTCCAATTCCATCCATTTACCAGCAAATGATAACATTTCATTCTTCTTCATGGCTGCATAAAATTCCATTGTGTATAGATACCACATTTTCTTAATCCATTCGTCAGTGTGGGGGCATCTTGGCTGTTTCCATAACTTGGCTATTGTGAATAGTGCCGCAATAAACATGGTGTGCAGGTGCCTCTGGAGTAACCTGTGTCACAGTCTTTTGGGTATATCCCAAGAGTGGTATTGCTGGATCAAATGGTAGATCAATGTAGCTTTTTAAGTAGCCTCCAAATTTTTTTCCAGAGTGGTTGTACTAGTTTACATTCCCACCAGCAGTGTAAGAGGGTTCCTTTTTCCCCGCATCCTCGCCAACACCTGTTGTGGTGGTGTTGCTAATGGCTATTCTAACAGGGGTGAGGTGGAATCTTAGTGTGGTTTTTAATTTGCATTCCTTTATTGCTAGAGATGGTGAGCATTTTTCATGTGTTTTTTTGGCCATTTGAATTTCTTCTTTTGAGAAAGTTCTGTTTAGTTCACTTGCCCATTTCTTTATTGGTTCATTAGTTTTGGGAGAATTTAGTTTTTTAAGTTCCCTGTATATTCTGGTTATCAGTCCCTTTGTCTGATGTGTAGCTGGCAAATATTTTCTCCACTCTGTGGGTGTTCTCTTCAGTTTAGAGACCATTTCTTTGATGAACAGAAGCTTTTTAGTTTTATGAGTCCCATTTATCTATGCTATCTCTTAGTTGCTGTGCTGGGGTTCATTGAGAAAGTTTCTTCTATACCTACTAACTCCAGAGTATTTCCTACTCTTTCCTGTATCAACTTAGAGTTTGGGGTCTGATATTAAGATCCTTGATCCATTTTGAGTTAATTTGTATAGGGTGATATACATGGATCTAGTTTCAGTTTTTGCAGACTGCTAACCATTTTCCCAACAGTTTTTGTTGAAGAGGCTGTCTTTTCTCCAGTATATTTTAGCACCTTTGTCAAAGACAAGTTGGTATAGTTGTTGGCTTCATATCGGGTCCTCTATTGTTCCACTGGTCATGTCTGTTTTTGTGCCAGTCCATGCTGTTTTTATTGCATTGCTTTGTAATATAGTTTGAATCAGGTATTGTGATACCTCCTGCATTGTTCTTTGACTGAGTATTGCCTTGGCTATTCGTTGGCCTCTTGTGTTTCCATAAATTTAACGGTAATTTTCAATCTCTTTAATGAATGTCATTGGAATTTTGATGGGAATTGCATTAAACATGTAGATTACTTTTGGGAGTAGACATTTTTACTATGTGATTCTACAATCCATGAGCATGGAGATCTCTCCACTTTCTATAGTCTTCCTCAATCTCTTTCTTCAGAAGTGTATAGTTTTCCTTTAGGTCTTCACTCCTTTGTTAGTTTACACCTAGTATTTGATTTTTTTGAGGCTATTGTAAATGGAATGTTTTCATAATTCTGTTTGTTCATTATTAGTGTATAGAAATGCTAATGATTTTTCTATGTTGATTTTATATCCTGCTACCTTGGCTATAGCTTTGATGTGTCTAGGACTTTGGG